AAGAATTCTCATTAAGATTAATTAGCAATTAATAATGAATTAGGCTGATTAGTATATGAAGAATTAAGCAGATCGAAAAGGGTGTTATCCACCGACGCCGAAGGCCGAGGTGGATAACACTTTCCGAGATCTGCTTAATCCTTCATATCTTACGAAAGCCGAATTCATTAATTGTTTATTACTCATTCAAAATAATTCCTAGTTTAAAAACATAGCTAAAACATAATTACCTGCATCGATGTTACGTTCATCTTCGATAGTGTACGTTTAGGTTTGTCCAGCTCCGCAAATTTTCTCCAAATAGCAGATGTCGCCCTCCGAGTTGTCTTTGTGCTTTGCCATGTTTTTAGCTATTATTTCGCCTAGTTCCAGCTGTAGTTCTTACTCTTGAAATGAGTGAAATGTCCGCCACCTTTTTTTCACAACCAAAACAAGTCAACCTCGTCCCCAGGATTTCTCGGTAACGGTGTCTTAACCTGTAGCGGGCTGCATTTTTGACGTCATATCCTCAAACACAAAATTCTTCCACATTTAGTCATCAGTAACTGGTTATGGTGAATTATGCCTGTACTTTTAGCCAATCAGAATTGGGGAAATATTTGAATGAATAATAATAGTATTTATATAGCTGGCAAGTGTCCCGGTCACCCCATTCTGAATTTTCTGAATCCGCCACTGCTTATCGTCTTTACAAAGGACTCTTAAGTTATCAAAGAATGATAAATTTACTTGAGTAATGTTCCAGAACTAAACTGTAAAAATACTACCATTTCCTTTAGCGAGGGTTAGTCATATCGTTCAGGGATTAAAGGTAAGGTTACCTGGTTGCCATCCATTTTTATAACCAGCGTCCATCCACCATCACCGCATGCACCATTTCCAGTCGTAGCCATGGTCATATGACAGTAAACGTCAACAACCTCATCCTCCAAAACTAGAGGGTATGCTTTGTCTTCTCTGGATCTTAAAAGTAGAAATTGCGAGACATCAGATCTAGATTGATTATTTAGGGTATCACAAAAACTACATTTATTAATTGTTTTATAATAAAGAAAAACACACTGTCGCACTGAACACAGTTTGACATTACTCTTGAAAATCCTGAATTGCGCTGCCTTGCAGCCCACAGATTAGTTTGTTAACTGCTAGCAGATAACCAGCTAATTAATATAATCTGTAAGCGCGAAGGTGCGTTTATTGACAAAAGTAATTGTGAACTCTTACAATGAAAAGGCAGGCACAACGTATAATAACGCATCATAACATCTTTAGAATGGCAATTATATTTCCTTGCCCTTTACCGAGGCTAGTTTTTTTGCTCTCAAGGAAGGCGTTGCTGTACCCTGTGACTAACCGGAATCTCGTTAAAATGCCGTGGCCCAGAGGAAATATGTTCTGTATTGGTTGTCGTGCATTTTGGTGTATTGTTATATACATGAAATGCACGCATCACAGTCATGCTGAAAGCTGTATCATTTAAATAGAAAGATAACGAATAATGTCTTACTACTCACATGTTCTTGTCAAAAATGTCCTTGCACGTCGAAACTGTGTGAAAATAAAGGAAATAATAACTACTAAACATAATTTATTTTTCAGTTATTTAAATTACTGCACTACTGCATGATGACTAGAGGCATTAACGGCAGTAACTTAAGATGTTTTTATTTTCTTATTTTATTACCCATTTTTCGAGAAGGAACTATTTATGTCTTAATTGAAAGAATCATCATTGTTTAAAAGTCAGACTTACAAATACTTGCCGTGAACTATTTGGAAAAATCACCACAGATCGATGAACGGTTACTCCATCAATATTTGCAGGAGCAACAACATTGTTTGTAGTCTTCTGTCCCCTTAATAGACCTCAAAATAGGCCTGAATCGAAGAAGATAAAGTATTATGGTTTATTTAAAGCTAAGAATGGTTTAATTTCTCCTATAAAAAATGCCTAAGACTCACTTGGTTCACAGTTCTCTACATCACCATAGTATCCCGGATTACAGGTGCAAGTGTAAGATCCCACATTATTGGTGCAAAACGTATTGGCACTGCAGTTGTGTGTTCCAGAGGCGCACTCGTCTATAGCTGGTAGGATTATGTTAGGTTAAACAATCCATCAAATCGCAACAAGAAAAATACTAAATAAATATTGAAATAGAATACAAAGAGCACTGAAAGATTGCTAGCAATTAGGTAATTAGTTGGTTGTTTTGAAAGATATTATTGTGAGGATTTTCGCTGATAGTTTGTTTGCGCCTGAGCTGATCTCGCCATGATTGGGGTTTGCAGATCAAGGTTAATTCGTTAATTTGTGTCGACAGCTTTATAAATGTGAGTTTGTCAACGAAAGTATCGTTTATCTCAAGGTTTAATTGAATTAGAGGGCCAACCTTTGAAATAGGCACGTTTGGGGTCACATCTCACATCTGACCTTGGATATGTTTCTACATCGGAGTTTCCCTTTTGGCTTATTAGGTAGCTAGTGCATCGAAGGTTT